AAGGAAGGATCCGGAACGCCGTTTTTGACGAAATTCGCGAGTCGAATCACGCGAACGAAAGTCTCCGGATGAAAAGCGCGTCGCGCTCATCAGAATATCGATCTTGCTTATTAAGCGACATGTTTGTCTTCATTTCGGCGCGTTTGTCATACGCACGTGCATTGTAACAAACTAGCAACGAGAATGAAAGTATTACGTAAAACCAATATCATTAATAATCAAGGCGATACATGGTATCTCGATTCTTCATATTTACTTCAATTGTAAATTAATTATTTCATAAACTTGACCACTCTTACCTTTAATCGCATATCGTCCACTGAATGAAACCAAAATCATTACAGCGTGATAGTCCCTTTGTCTCTGTTGTCTTTCCGACAATGTCGAATAGAAAGTATGTCATTATCGGACACCGATTTATATTCAGATTGTAATTTGCGGTATGAGTCGATTAACGATTCGCGGATATAATTTATGAATTTTATGTTCCGTGTAATAACAAGATGATTGCCGTCAATTGCTATCTGTGCAACTGTAACGACTGACGGAGTATTTCTTTTTGGACAATGAATTTGCAATCAATTTAAGATCCGTAGTCGTTCGCTATCTATTCTTGTTGCTAAATTATTATATAATTCTGCAATTATATGAGACAGTCTCAACTGATATTTATATCCGGAAATGTGTTTTATTAAAATAATTTCGTATTAATAACAGAGTAATAAATCTACAATAATATTCGTTCATTAGATTGCAGATATAATTACAGCTCCTTTTTATAATTTTAAAAACTTCTGTTCAAACTTTTCAACTGTAATAAATTGTAAAGTGAAACTGAAATTCTTTTTTAGGAACTCGAGTGCTGATGACACGAGACGTTCACTTGTATGACGTGCTAGACGTCGGGAATTTTTCTGTCTGTTAAAATTCATGGCGAAATGTGTTTCCACTTACCTAGTCGTGTCGCTTTAAACTTGACAACGGTAGCTCTTCGTGAACCAGTAGGTTCTGTAGTAACAGCAAATTGCTTTCCGAGGAACAGATACTCTAATCATTCTGTCATCATTTTCCCTTTATTTCTACTTTTCTCTCGAATGTAACGTGCATATAAAATATTAGAAATTTCAATTTTATTATTTCTCGAATCTCTTCTACCATTTCAATGTAACATGAAAAAAATCAACAACAGGATGATGAAAAAATATATGTATGGGTATATAATTACTGTTAAAGGAATAAAAATGCAGAAATAATCTGTTCGATACCTGGAGCCCTGTTGTGAATATGTTCAAAATAAATTGCTGATAGTAAGAAAGAAAAGAGAAGTCGTAAGGCAGAGTACGGGGGAAGCATGATGAGGCGAATATGAATAAAATGCATCTTGGCATAGTGAAAATATGTAATAAACATATTTTATGCAATATATATATGAAAATTTATAGATACACAACACAGCTTCGTCACTACCGGTACCACCGCTGCTCCCAGCGCCTGCTCCACCGCTAATCAACATCTCGTTTCCCTTCGATCGAATCTGTTAATTCACAATTTGCACGATAATACAGATACGATGTTGATTACAGAATAGCATCTGGTCCACAAGTATAACTCAATATTTAAAACCGTGTGACGTACTTGGATAAATTTTGCCATCTCCTGAAACCTAAATAATGTTAAAGTATTGCTAAAATATAACGCTTTTGATTTACAGTTGAATGAAAAATAGAGAAAATATGCAAATAATAAAAATCAAATGATGATGAATTAATTTCGATTTCCTACTAGAGATTATCTGCTTGAGCTGTTCCATCCTCGGAAGGGCGGAACGGGAAGATGGTGATGCAACGAGCTGTCAGGACCATCTCGCTCTGCGGTCGGGAATGCTAGCTGGGGAGCAGGAGCGAGGCGGGAGTGGTGCAAGAAGTCTCTCCTCTGTCGCGTTCACTTTCGAACTAATCTCCATGTTACAAGTGTTACAAATCAGTGCGCTCGACGTACAATCCAAGATTATATCATATATTATATACAGAACAATCTCTTAAATCGCTGAATCTGGATAAAGAACGCGTGATTAGATCCATCTACCGCGATTGGGACCTTCTACCTTTCCGCCCGCTGTTCTCACACTCCACATTTCGAGCGTCGTTAAACGCCCGTCTTTCGCATGGGACGCGCGTCTCGACGCTGGAATTGAAGAGTCCAAAATGACATCCGCACACGCGCGAGTGAACCAATCGCGGTAGGGAAAAAAGCGAGAGGCGGCTTCGATGAGAGATCGCAGGATTTTAATTTCATCGGCGAGTAGACGATAGAGATTGAGAATCTGAGGGTTCAAGGTACTCGATGATACATATTATTCGTGCGTAGCCACTCAATAGTCGAAAGACGAAGGACGAAAGTATGCGCCAGGCGAAGTCGCGAGAACTCCGATGGAAGGATCTCGGGCGATCCTTTCTCGACGATGGGCTTACGAAATCGCCGAAGGGCTGCCCGCGATATCGGTGCTCCTCGGAATTGTAGGAAGGAAACACGGTCGCGAGTGGATCGTGCCAATTGTCGCGTTTGGCGTAGCGACGGTTAAGAAGTCGACATAATTAGAACCGAACTCTTCGATTGCATTCGTCATTCGTCCACTATTCGTCGCGCTGGCAAAAACTAGCGGCATGCGAAAAAAACGGCCACGCGTTCGCTTTCGTCGAGGTGTCAAAATAATTTCGAACTCTCTTTGGTTTCTCTTTCTACCTAGCTACCGGAATATTAATGACGAAAGCGGGATGTTTCTCAAGACCATGATATTTCCAGGACGTCAGTTTCCCCCGTGGGACCTTAGGAAAGACAGAGTTCCACTATGGCGACTTTTTAATCATTCACTTTTTCCCTCGGAACGTCCTTTCTCGCTGGTCCCCTGCTTCGGGTTTGAAAGAGCGACGGACTCGGCTTGCACAGCATGAATTTATATTTGGGCGCAGACACTATGTATAAAATGTTACGTACGTTTTCCCACGAAAAATGTAACGTGTTTAAAATACCTTTTAAATGTAGCGTCTACTCGTAAACCGCTTGCTCGCGAGAGAAGTCGGAGTCGTCGTTGTCGTAAAGTTCGCGATGAAATCGGTGTCGCCCGAGTGCGACTCGCAATTTCGACGCAAGGGAGATGACTTGATCACGCATCCACCCGTTTTGCGCGTGCTCTTCGCCAGCTGCGTCTGTCTGCGCGGTCGAGGGCGGCTACGTCTGGCCAGCTGAGGTCTCTCAGCTTTTCACACGAGCTTCATTCTCTCATTCTCACGTTATTTCCCAAGGGAAGAAAATTGATACAAAGTTGTATGAAGTTATTTTACGTGTCCTGAATTCAGCGGTTACTGATTTCACCTGAAAATATCTTAAAAAAAAGGTGATCTTGAATATCTTTCATATGTAATTCTATGTTAGAAGAAGAGACTTAAGCAAAGGTAAACAAAATGCACGAATATTTTCTTGATTTGCCGCAATTATTTGATATTATTATTTAGGATCTAATGGATAAGATAATATTACGAAGACTGTTTCTACGCGTATCTTTCCGACGATAAAAATAGTAATCATATTTATTTAGTTAAGAGCTACAGCCCCAGTTTACAATTGAAGTTAGAAAACGAGACAAGTTGTGGATATTTATTGCTACAATCAGTAAAATGAATAGATAAAAGCCCTACGTTATTGGTAACAGCATTCGGCAAATGGTGACGAAAGAACAGAGAGAAGAGAATGTCATTCCAGTCAAGGAACATTGTATCTTTCTAACGACTGCGCGTCCAATATTCGGAGAACCAGCCCGTTTACGTTAAGAACAATTTCTTTTGGTGCGAAACCCCGAGGAGACACGGTCGGCGACGAACATTTTCGTCACACGGTACACTTTCAGTGATTCGAGACGAGATTTGCGCGAACGTGGCCGCCCTCGGCCCGGACCACGCCGAACTCTCTTCCTTTTTCTAAAAAGGAACCGTACGTACAACTCCTGCCGTGTACCTAGGTGCGAGAATCCACGTGTGCTACGTTGTATGTGTGTGTGTGTGAGTGAGTGTAATGTGTGTAATGTGTGTGTGTGTGTCTGTGTACTACTGATTTAACGATCAAAAAACCGCTACCTGCAAAATTGAAAAGCTGCGTTTCCCCCCCTTTTAGCGCTGCGCCGCTGCGCTATTGTTTCGTCGCAGAGAATTACCTACGAGTCGTGTGTGTTCAATCGTTACATCGAAAGTACTCGGTATTGGTTACAGCCTAGAATACTGAGCAAAGAACGAATACATCAGCGGTCGGTGATCCATGAACGATCTCGAAGCGCCATTCCCGTGAATTCGATTCCTCTCTCCCTCTCTCTCCTCCTTTTTCTTCTTACCGAATACATAATGTAAAAATCCAATGTAAAGTCTCGCGCGGCCACAGTAAGCGTCTCAGGATAGTAGAGCGCTGTTTTCTGGCCCTTTTAATCGATTCGCGACGCTAATGGCGGAAATAGAGTCGCGAGAGGACGAGAAACGAAAAGGGAGAAAGAAAGAAAGAGAGATCGACGTTTATACGCGTTTAGGAGCAGTAGCGACTTGAAATGCTTCGTAAAAAATTTATAGAATATGTATATATATATGTATGTATATATATACATCTATCTTCTTTTCTGTATATGTAGAAGTATATATTATTGCGTAGGCATTATGTCGTCGGTGTTATTTTCTTCGTTTCCTTCTCGTCGCGTTTGCGTTTCTTCCACTGTTATACAATAGTAATAACGATAATAATAATAATCGTAACAAGAGTACTAATAATACTAATAATAGTAATAATAATAATTACAATAATAACAATCATAAGAATACGAACTTGGATAATTGCCTAATGTCGCCAGCGCGACACACTTTCGCTGTCGCATTTTGTTCGTATGAAAAGGACATGACTACTTTATACGGCGGCTGAACCGAGAAAAATAGTTTCTTCATGTTCCTGTTTAGATTGCTACGTGGTAATAGCGCGAAAGTTTTTTCCCCGTAAGTACCGTAAGTTACCGCAATAGTGTGATCTAACGTCATCTATAAGCAAGAATAAAAAAGAGGATGCTCTCACAGTCGTCTTAATTAATCCGCTAGAAATCGGAACTGTCCACGCTCGAGAAGTTTTTAAAGTAAAACTCTGCGGTGAACAAATCGATTGTAAAGTCTCTCGCACTTCCGCTTCACTTAACGCCGAGATTACAAATATTCGTACGATAAATCAACAAAAATGAACGTTTTCCTCGACGCGATTGTAACGTCAGTTTTCCGTGCATTTGCCGTAGGAATATTTACGTAATGAGTGAACAACTTCGTGAATTACATATTTCTTCTTCGGCAACCCGATCTCAGGACGAGGCATTTCGTTTGCGATTTTGTCCTCGACTTTTCGCGACCATCGTCCAAGATTTCTTCTGCAATTCCATTGCGCGACGTGTTATGTACTTTCAATGCGCTTCTTTCGTTTCTATCGTGTCCCTCTTATGATATACAGCGCGTAAGGTGTGTCCCTTAATATGTAAATATATACAAATAATTATTTGCGATCCAGTGAATAAAATAATTGGCGTCTAATTGGCGAGATGCGGTACACTTGTTTTCGTTTGCTGCTCTTCGACGCGTAAAAAATCGATTTGAAGGAACGAATGTCAGATTGTTTGAACCGCAATGACGGGAACTCGGAAGAGACGAACGCTCGATCCGAAGCCGTACGTTCGAAGAGCCTAAACTGCAACTGGCGACTTTTTAACAAGCGATTATTTTATCGAATTAGCGGAATAAGAGTGATCTCCGCGCTCACAGGTCGCTCCCTTTTAGGGCGTGTGCGATTGGAGGAAGCATATCTTTTTATGTCAGAGTTTAAAAAAAATATCCATTTCTTTTTCGAGTTAATACTTAACTATGCAACTTTACGAAACTTCTTCTGTGTTAGATTGTCCTCGTAACTCATATATTTCCAGAATTATTAACACAAGTATTTAACACCCTTGCCATTGTAACCCGGATAAGGAGTTTAAAAAAATTATTTCGACGTATACTTTTATCATATCTCAACTCACCTGTCGCTCCTTAATTCCTTCAATCTTGATATACGTGGATTAGCAAGACTTTGACCAAGTTTGTGTCTTTGGACCTCGATACTCCCTTCAACGGTACGCGCCCCTAAGTTGATTCTTTGTAACCGAGAGATTTGATTTCGAGCCATGGCTATGATATTGATCGGATCGAGAACAACATTTTCTACGTAGGTGTCGAACGGCCTCGGTCGCGCTCTCCCGTCGCTCTCGCGCGTTGCTTTCCACGTCACGTCGGTCGGGACAAGCGGATCCTCGCGGTGATGTCCACGCCCCGTGCGCGTTTTTCCCTTAACTACCGTGGTCCTGATCGAGCTCGTCTAACGACTCGAGCCTCGCGATCGGCGCCTCGTTTATCGTGAACTCCCACGACATGTCCTCGCTGGTCTGTCTCGAGGAGTCCTGTTGCCTGGGTCCGCTCGCCTGTCCTCTGGCACCACCCTCAAGTCTGCTCTCCGGCCGTTGCCCCGAGGTGGATTCCGTACCGCTACCGCCGCGATGATTCAGCGAGTCCTTACGCGAGTCCCCGCTACGTGGACGTTGAGCGCCGCTCCGATCCTCCGGCACCACGCAGCTCCAGGGATCTTCACCCTCCGGCTCCGAGCGTTTGTTGAACGAGCTGTATCTACCGCAAGGCACGCTTTTGTCAACGGCGTGATAGCGGCATCCTGTTCGGCAATGAGCGCGGCCACTAAACGTGGACGGGACGAGATGTCGAGAATCGGCGTCCACGTTTAGCGGCCGACGCCTAGCACTGGCACATTTTCCGGTCCAAGATTTTGAAACGGGCATCAAGACCGAATTGAATCACTAATTTTAAATAGCGGAAACGCGCCATTGCCAACGTAGATTTGCTTTCCAATCCCCGATATACGTGACAGGGTAAAACCGTCCAGGTTTCCACGTGAGAAATCTCTACAACATCTTTACCAAACTACCTACCCGCTCCGGTATTCGCCTCTCCTGAAGGCAGCGGGCTGGCTGTGCCAGGCGTGGGCCTGATGGACTTGTTGCTGCGTGGTAGTCGGCACCGCCAGGTCAACCGGCTGACTCTGTGACCTCGTGGGCCCGGTGCGGCTGTTCAGCGCCGTCTGTAACGCCGTTGCGAGCGCGGACGTGTCCGACGTGACGGTCAGCCGCGACGTTCCCGACGACGTGGTCGGATCCCTCATGGGGGGTCTGTTCGCAGAGGGGAACGAAGCTCGTATCAGCGAATCGACACGCGGACGGCCAGCTTTTCTTTCACAAGAGAACCGCTAAGGATAGCCGAGCGAGATATATACTTGAAGCGTACGTGATTATGTACAGTGGGATATTCGACACAGGCCTCTAATTCTCTAAGTTTGATGAGCAGTGTCACGGGCCCCCGCGCGCTTGGGACTACCGGCCGCGCAATGGGATCGACATCGATCATTCGCGTCGGCTGCAATCGATCAAGATTACGAATGAAAAACGACGACGAGAACGTTTCTATCTAAACGTGCACGAGGGATGATTTATCCTACCAAGAAATCGGTTCCGTCAACGTCGGTCAACTTCAATCAGAGTGTCCGATTGATTAAACTACAAGAGAGGTAAAAGGAATCAATTGAAGTTAACTGAGATTGGCGAAATTGCGGAGAATAAAGTATTTTCTGCAATAGAGTCGGAAGTAAAGACTAGTCGAGTTAATTGGAAGACTAATCGGACGTGTGAAGAGAGAAATATTTATCAGCGAGATTAGATGGAAGAAAGAAAAGATGTATGCGTGCAATTTAGAGAGGATATCTTCTAATGAAAGATTTCTTTTATTTTAACGCAATGCTTCTTACTTTTCTTGCATTTCTAGATACTGTTTCTAATAAATACTGGATGAGCTACGTGATTTGTAAGTGTCAAAGCTTTTGAGGCGTGCGACGTTAGAAATGATGATCTACGGAAAAAGAGTGCCAAAAATATGATGCTACGATTCTGAAGGCTATAGAATTTCAGAGTAGCGGCGTATCGCCTCTAAAAGATCTATTTTAACGCGACCCAATTGTGAATTTTTAGGCAGATTATGACTATGCTCGTGATCAAAGGGAAAATTTCCAATTTTTGGTGATGGATATGTTAACGCCGCGTGCCGCTCGCTTGGACTCGATCTCCGTGACACTGCTCGCAAAGAGTTGAAAGAAGAATACGTGATGGTGGTCACCTTCGGAACTTGTCCAACTTTTCCAAAATAAAAGACGCCGAAATCAAATGCAACTGATCCAGGGATTTCGAAAGAAGGCTTTTCAAGAATAACAAAATATCGATTACTTGTTGCGATTCAAGTTTCAGTTTCGGAATCTACTTCTGTGTCGCGAAAAATCGCAGACCCTCTCTAGCGCACCCGAACGAGCGTCGCTCGTACAACTAGCTCTAACGTTAAGTCTGAACGCGCGAGAGAAGTGCGCGATCCGATTAGATAATTAGAATCGCTGGAAATTTAATGCGCGGAAAGTTATTTTCCGTCACGTTCTTACCTGAACAAACCGTGCGAGGTGCTGGGCTGAATCTTCCCGTTTCCGTTGCCCGTCGGGATCGTCGGTGGCTGCGGCTCGCTCGCCGATCTCTGGACCAACGCGGGCGCACGGCTGCTCTGCTTCGTGCCGGCTGGCGCGGTCCCCGGCATCATCTCGATGCTGGAGCTCTCCTTCGACGAATTGAGCGTCTGCTGGAGTAAGCTCAGGATTAATCTGATGTCGCCGGCCATCGAGTGCTCCAACGAGGTCACTTGTCGCGACAGCTGATCGATCCTGGCATTGATCTCCTCCACCGGTCGACCCGGGCCGCTCTGAAAGTCACCTGGAAAGGCCAACGTCTTCATCTCGCGGCAACTCGAACTCGGTGGCGATCAAGCGATTCGATTAACCCAGCTCACATCGCATCTCGCGACGAGTGATTTTCGATGATGAATACACGATGATAGTACAAGGTGCACGGAATCTCATATCGACGTGAGTGAGACGAAAGTGAGACGGAAGTCGCGTACGTGACTAAGATTAAGAGAAATGAGGCCCCTACCATGGGAATGAGGATGCTGCGGGGGCGATGGTGTGGTGTAGTGGCTTGACGTTGTCGAAGTGGGATGAACGACGTTTTGACTGAGGCTACTCTCGCCAGCGGCGGAACTCCGGCGCGCTGGTTTCGTCAGCGGCGTGGTCACTAGGTTTTAAACGCCACCGGTGAGTACCACGAGTACGGGTGGAATATATAAATTGTGTGCTACTTATCGCATACAGATGTGCAACCGCGCTGCGAGATATTCTCTATTACGGCGTGCGTCGCGATTGACAATTTATCTAGATGAAACGACCAAAGCCGCACGTTCTTTTCGGGGTTCTGGCGAGCGGTGCGAAATTCAGGCAGGTCAGAAATGATTTTAGGTGCAACGAGGCGAGCAATCTACTTCGGGGTGGTTGGAATATACCGAGTACTTACTTTGTTTCGCGAGGTAATCGTGACTGGTAAGCGGCTGCAGGTGAATCTTGTGTTGACGTAGATCCGGTATGCTGCGCTTGAGATGGGTTAGCATGCCTGAACAACCAGGTTTCAAGGTGTTATCGAACTTGGGACTCAAACAAAAAGCAATACACTTAGAGGAGGAGAGAAAGAAAAGAGAGACGTTGCCGTAATAACGCTCGAAATAATGAGCTACATCGAGGTGGAAGCGAAAGACATTTTAGAATATCTACAAGAGAGATCAGCTCGCTTTTAACATTGTTACAAACTGTAAGCGGATCTAAGTAGTTGATTCCAAGATTTAGTTTGCGTCGCACATTTAGCGCTCAATGTGATTATACAGATCTTTGTTTCTAATCATTAAAATTGCTGTTAAATAGAGTTTAATAATGAAAATTTAAACTTGGACGGATTTAGCGTTAACATTTGCATCTCTGGGTATTATTTAGCGCTAAATGCGAGGCGTCAATGCGGGCGCAAATGTTTTCGCAGTCGATTTGTACAAGGGCTTTCGCTGTTATTCAATGAAAAGATGAACATCCGAAATGAAAAATCTTGAGTCGTATTAAAAGGAAATACCCTGCTGCATAGAGTATCTGTACAGCGGATATCGTCATGCAATGAATAACATTCCTCAAACAGAATATTAGGAGCAAACACGAGAAGAAATTGGAACATTATCTCCCCGAAGCGAGGAGGTCGAACGAAAGGCTAATTGCTCACCGGTTATCGAGTTTAAGGTCGAGCTTCTCTGTTTGGGCTCATCGAATTCCAAATTTAACGGTGTCACGTCTTGACCGGCCTTGTCCGTGCTGAACTCTAAGATACCATGACCGCTACCTTTCTCGCTGCAACAGACATCGAAAGAAGCTGATTGAGCAATCCGTTTTCAGCAAATATAACGCTCTGCTTTTTGTGCTTTCTCCAATATTCATAAATTGTTTATTTTGCTAATCTTCTTGGTCAAGTGTTGATCTTTCTAACAACGACAGATTGAGAAATTGATACAATAAAAAGAGGTAAAATTTCTACGATAATAAGAGGTCTTACTAGTCATCTTGGTCGTCCTGCAAGGAGTCTTGTCGACCTGTAGGAATAAGATTTGTGCCAGGACCACCACCGGGTCCTCGACGGTATCTTGGTGGACGGAAAGCGAACCTCCTAGCGTCGATGTCGACGTCGGTAGGAGTACTGACAGGAAACCTTGCTGATATTGGATCGACACCAGCCTGCTCTTCCTAAAGATGAAGCGGCGGTTACTCGCGAATCACAGCACATGTCCAGTTCGATGCGAATGTAAATTGTCGCATGCAGTTAGTTTGAAAATCAAACGAAGCGAAAATATAATCGAAATAAAAATGTCAAAATCATAAAACGTGGTTCAAATATAAAAATGTTTCTTTATCGTCACGAGTAATAATAAAATTTAAAGCAAGGGAAAAGAACGGAATTATATTGAATCGTAAACTCGTGCGCGCGAAGTAAAGGGAGAGAATAACACTCACGTCTCGCATGTTAAAAGTGATCTCGAGATTCTGGCTGAAGTGGTTGGAGAATTCTGGATAAAGTGCCAAGACGTCGAGCAGGTCGTCCCGATGGATCTTGTGAAGGTCGCAATACGTAAGGGCGCGAACGTTACAAGACGATTTTCCGACGGTCGAATAAATGCACGGATTCTCGCCGAATATGTCGTCCTTGCCCAAAATAGCCATTACGATATCATCCTTCAGGATCTCGATACTCCCGCGGGATATAAAATACAGGGAAGTCAGCACGTCCCCTCGATGGACTAAAGTGTCACCCGGAGGCGCATGCGTGGTCTTAAATTTTAAGGATAATGCCCTGTTTTGCAAAAGAAACGGGGGCTCTCTTGTCATCACGAATTGATTATGCGTTAAAGATAGTCTACATTCTATTTACGAAGAGCAGTAAAACTAAAATGTTGTTTTGCACGAGCTGAAAAATTCTCCCGTCAGATTTTCCGAGTAAACTAGGGGGCAAGTACCTTAAACAGCCTGGACTGGCCCCCTCGAAGGCTCGGCAATTGTTTAGAAGATTCCTATTGAGATGAAGACAGATGTCGGCCTGAAGGCACTCGGGGAACCCTTTTAAAACGCTGTTCATATCTATCCCGTTCGTGTAGGTCCACGCGTGTTGAAAGTATTCCTCCAATCGCTGGCGGAGCGGATTCGGGATCTGGTGGAACCTTATGAATTCCCTGACTCTGAGCATCTGCGTGTGATATCGAGCGGTGCCGCTGTATAGCCTCTGGATGATCGCCGATACGTTACCGAAGATACTGGCGTACATCAGGGCTAAAATCGACGTATCGTGAAACAAATCGCGTACCCGATATCTAACAACGGCTTGAGATACACAGGTTTCAGGCACAAGTTAATTCCATTGTCTATTCAAGGTGCTATTAAAATCTGAATGTCTAGAATATAAAAAAATGCTTACATTTTATTTACTTTTATTATAATTTAATTATTACGTAGCTATTATATTTCTGGTAACATTGTTATTTTTAGTGAAAAAATGTACTCGTGCCTGTCTGTATTTATCGACTCACATCCAATCAGCATGACGATTATTGTAAAGATTTTTTCAGCGTCGGTATTGGGTGCTACGTTCCCGAAGCCTACGGACGTGAGGCTGCTGAAGGTGAAATAAAGCGCCGTGATATAACGACTCTGAAAATATTACAATGTTACACGTTTGGCAAAAGGGTTCGCGTATCGCCAGTGCGATCTCAAATAGAGCGTACTCGTAAGGTACTCGATGGCTTACTTTTATGCTTGGCCCACCGGTGTTATTGTGAAAGTAAAACTGATGCGTGTCGTTGGCTAAAATGTCGAGCCAACCAACCTTGCTCTTCAGGGTCGGTCTCTCGGCGTTTCCTATGGCGTACCTTTAAAAAGCGCGAAATACCAGGATAAACGCATTGTATTCGGAACAATGTCTCGAAATGTATGCTATGTAACAATCGTTATGTCATTTAAACTACCAAACCTTTGACCGATTAGAAATTTGTGATAAAAGACGTTTTCATACATGTATACGGAGAGAATTTTCTTTCAAAATTTACCCTAAAAATCATGTAATCGCGGGACAACGTGGCATTTTGAAGAACTTTATGAGTTTTTGAAATTTTACCATACTGCACGGAGAGACCGATATGGTTACCACATGTCTAATTAGGGTTGGCACAACCCCAATAAATAGTAATATGTGGGACAGCTATATCTGTGGCTGCCATACCCACATTGGAATGATAAGTAGTGGAGACAACTATATGCGTTTTGTGCAGCAAACTTGGTGAATGTTGCAACACGAAACAATGTAGATGCCCCTACTATTTATACGGCAACATTTTAATTTTAGTTACTCTTTTCCTTAGCCGGTCTTTCCGTGTAGCAAATACTGGCCAATGCACTTCCAATATAAGTCTAATATTATATAATTATTATCGTGCAATATTTACATTGATTCCATGGCCAATATTGGCTTTACGTTGGACAATGTCGGCCAATGCGTTTCTAATGTAATCACACGGAGAGACCGATGCGGCTACCACATGTCTAATTAGGGTTGGCACAACCCCAATAAATAGTAATGTCTATATCTGTGGTTGTCATACCCACATTGGTATAAGTCGTGGAGACAACTATATGCGTTTTGTGCAGCAAACTTAGTGAATGTTGCAACACGAAACAATGTAGATGCCCCTGCTATTTATACAACATTTTCATTTTAGTTATTTTTGCTTTAGCCGGTCTTGCCGTGTAGTAAAATGTATACTAAGTTTAATTATAGCTAAAGGAACAACTGCGACATTAATACACGAGCGTTATACGAATTAAAGACGTATTTCTGAGTATTTCCAAAGATATTTCGACGGTATCACTCACCATATACACGCCATCCAATGAGCAATAAGGGCAAAAGTGGCCATTAAAAGTAACAAAACGGCAGCGCCATATTCGCTGTATCTGTCGATCTTTCTGGCCACCCTGACAAGACGCAGCAGACGGGCCGTCTTCAAAAGTCCGATCAAGGTCGTCGTCTGAAAATGATTCATCATTTTTTCTATCTTCCGAATCTGCGAAGCTCGCGAAACATTAATCTCGCTGTACAGAAATCGGCCTTCCTCAACGCCGTCCGTTACTACTTAAATGATCGATGTCTTTTATTGTTTCGTGAATCTGAAATTGCTCATGCAAAGATGATTCGTGCCTTTGCAGCAAGACGTGTTTTGCACAAATAACGTTTATGTGAAACGAATTGAAAATATTTTGGGAATTTCCGAATAATTTTTCTTTTTTACAGAAACACGGTTACTTTTACGTAAAAACCGTAAGATTTGCTGTGAGAATACAACAGATCTGCGCCATTTCCATTAAACGCGCCTCGACATGAACGGACATTTATCTGAAACCTAATCATCCGACGTTCGCGTAAAGGCCATTTCCGTGTTGGAAGTGTCACTCTCGCCGGAAGTCGTCACTCTGATTGCACATCAATCGCTGAGGCGGAGAACATCGCTCGTCGGAATATCACAATATGATATGCGCATGACATTTCGTTGAGTTTGAAATACCAAAGTTGAAGCCGACGTCTTCGCGGCGTGCCACTCCTTAACATCAATCTAGGCCTACGTTCAAGGACCGATCTTTCAATAATTTGCAGGGAATTAATTCACGGCATCGTTAAGCCGCCGCATTCGACGGGGATGCCTTTTGAGTTAAGTGACGACCTCTTTGTTGCGGAGTCGCAAGTAAGCTCGAGTTTCGACTCGAGTCACTTACGGCGTTTTGTTTCTCATATTTACATAGTTTTACGAAAGATAGAAGTTCAAAATGATTTTCACAAAATACATTAAATTGTAGTGCGAGCACTTTTGAACTTGACTAAAGTATAGTTACAAATCAGCTGACAAGCACAATCGAAATAAAGCTATTCACTGAAATGATATAATCTGCGATTGCTTCGAGAAAATTATCTGGCATGAACGAACGTATTCATGCTTCCTTTTCATTCTTACCTGTCGAGAATTCGCGGTTAAAAAAAAATCACTTCTATCCATGCAAACAGTAAGTACAAGTTTACATCGAAAGCTTTCAACGAAAAAGAGATCGACTCGGATATTTTTACGACTATCATGCGTTGTGTTCTAATCGAAACAATTCGAATGTCACATATTGCGTGTGCGCTCGAAGCGAAACTTTGAAGGCGATATAACAATTTAAGGCGAGTAAAAATATTATTTCCCGGGCCAAAGTTTTTCGATAAGCACGCGACTCATTGCAAGCGAGACAAAGCGTATAAGCGATAGAAACCACGCATAATCACATATATACAAAAATCCTTAGGCATATAACAATTGAAGGAGCGAGTGTACGAAGAAGATAAAAACGCAAGTTCATAAATATGTAGAGAAAAATCTGATACGGGTAAGAATCTTAATTGAAATAAAGATTTGAAATGGAGGACAACCGATTTATGGGGAAAGTCGACTTTCGCGAGAAACGAATAAAGAGATCAAACTTTCATTGTTCGCCTGCTCTTTCAATCGTTACAAATATGAAACGTAAAATTTTTGTCAAGCGCAAAAGACGAGACACACACACACGCACACATATACACGCGCGCGCACACACATACACATGTATACAGGTTGAACCGGGAAAAATCCACCGGTCGGAAAGCCTCTTGTATTTTTTTTATGATCGAGTACAATCACGATTTTGTAATAGCTTGCAACAGAGACGTAATTAAAAGATACAAAAGAAGCTCGAGAACAGAATGGTAGGACCAACATAGTAGTGGAACAGAATCGAGAGAAGAAATAGCTAAAGCGTACGCGCAGTTGCTGACGAAATCGAGATGAGATATTTTCAATCGAAGTGCTCTCAGTGTGTGTTACTATAGCTATTCACGATTGATACATATCTGCTCGTGTACAGTTCGTAATGGATTGTGCGTATATACGCGTGTGTATGTGTGTGTGCGCGTGTACTCGTATATGTATGTACTCATATCCGTGTGATCACTTCATATTCTATGAAATATTTCAGTTCCGGATGGTTTAATCTATTTTCTCGCTTGTGAAAGCGTTTTTATTATTTTTTTTCCTTCAAAATCCAATAATGTTTTACGAAATCGTGATTAATAAAAACAAATACTCCAGTATTGTTCAAGACTGATGAATTAACGAAAGCGTGTGTACCATATGATGCTCAAATGCTTGGCCCTTGGATCCGATAGAAGCACAGTTTTGCGAAATATAATCGAGGCAATCATAAACAGTTATATTCGCCCTGCAACTATAAAAAGGAAACGAATCGCGCGAAACTCGGACGAGTAAAACGAGCCTAAAGTCGATTTGCTTGCTAAAAATCAAATTCGACAAAGCTGGATGCAAGAAGAATTCTTAATCGTGCGACCAATATAGACGTGATTCGTAGATGTTGGATCTGATATCTGGTAAGAAAGTTGTCTAGTTAAAAAATAATAGAGCTAACTGTAGTTCTCACCAGATATTGATAGCATAAATTACTTTCATTTGCATACGATAAATCATTGACGATAGCTATCGACAATAGAGATGTTCGATTGTTAGAATTCAAATTTTTCGCTACGACTGCAAAACCAAATGCGCATCTGCGCCAATATGCGAGAGGATCGGAGTTTTGCATTTACATAACTGAATATTAATTCATTCTTTTATGTTCAATATTATGCAAATTTTGAAAATTTGCATTGGCGCAGACGTACATCCATTTGTTAGCTGTACGTAAAATCCAAATTCTAATAATTATTCTTGTAGCACGCAAACGGACCGATTTTGCGAGGACGCGCAACGATGCAAACGTACAAGCCGCAATGCGCTTTGTAAAACGGTATAACTTTTACTTCCAAATCTTGCACGAACGGGTTGATCAAAAGCGAGTTATCATGTGATCTCATACAATACTTAAGTCCAAAAAAAAGAAGAAAAAGAAACATGCACTTTGGTAATTTGGTATTCACATCGTACGTGTGAGAATAGAGTTGATGAAAATCCTGCCTTCTCGCGTATTGTGATTTACTGTATCTTTACAAAACGAAGGAAGTGATAGTTTATCGAAGAAAATCCGAACAACGATTTGCCATCAACTTTATTCCAACTTCCTCGGTACAAGATGGGGTTGCAATGATCGAGTGTTTGGTACGTGTGGTGAATCGCGTGAAGACTCGTGGTCGTCAAGATGGTATCGCCGAGAAGGGATGGTTGATATTGCAAGAGAGACAGTGCTGAAAGTATTTAAGATGAGTAACATGTGTTAAGCAGTTTGTACAAGAGAGAAAGAGGAAAAGGAAGAGAGAGAGAGAGAGAGAGAGAGAGAGAGAGA